CTTTCCCCTCTAGATTCGATGCTTTACAAAGCTTCCCTTCCTGCCCCAAAGGGAATTTGAGCTGCGTGAAGCATTTTGGAGCTTCAGGCAATAGGCTTCTGGGCAGCCAAGCTTCATCACCCACACAACCCGGCTTTGATGGCTGCGGTGCCCGGCTCCGGGGACCGAGGGGGCCTAGGGGAGCGAGTCAGGCCGTGCAGGCAAGGTCACCCCCCCTCCCCAGTCAGGGGGCCAGGACAATCAGCTGGACAGTGTGGGAACGGCTGCAGGGTCATGAGACTGCCGAGGGCTGGCATGGAAAGTTGTACAACTTTGCAACTCATTCTCCTCGCACAACACGCCCTTTGTGTCCTTCATCTGCGGTGGCCGAGAATGTCGGGGGGCAAAATGGGCTGTCCTGAGCCCCCCAGGAATGGCCACAGCTAGAGACCACCAGGCTCCTTCCCCAAGCGCTGCCACACAGCCCTTAAAAAAAAAAAAAAAAAAAATCACATCACCCCCGTTCCCTTTTCAGGGGGTTGAACAGCCCGAGCATTGAAGCTTGCGCAGAGCTGGGTGGCTCAGGGGATTTGTAACAAGAGATGGAGCCTTCCACCTTCACAGGTTCAAAATAAAACCCAACCCAACCCACCAGGAGCAGGCACAGGGCACAACGCCATGTCGGTGGGTTGGGCGAAATCCACTCGGAAAGGAGTCCCTGATGGCCAGGTGACAAGTGACAAAAGCCGCTGGCACCACCTCTAGCTTGCCCCCTCCTTGGCAAGAATGAGGTCTGAATGGGCCACCAAGGGGGAGATTCAACTACTGACCTAAATTTCCCAGGCAGCTCTTTTCTCTCGCTACAGCCCCCGACCGCCGAAAGGGCATTACACGCTTCTTGTCCCAGACTGCGCGTCTCTGCAGGGTTGCAAAGACGCCACATTTCACCCCAAAGTGGCTGCGTTTGAGAAGTTGGGAAATCACCCTCGCATATAACTCGTAGCAGCCGAGGGGGCACCATTAACTTAAAATACGGCCCCTTTGAAAGGGAGAGTTTACAACACCACCGGAGCTCTCGAATTTATTTACAAACCTTATTTACAGACCTGGCGTAACACGGCGCACAGCCCTAACTGCTCAGCTCACTCTGCTTTCATCGGTGCTGAGCCCCGCTCTGCATTTCCAAAACACCAATGCAACCGACCTCTGGCTATCCCTGGCTCCCCAGGTCAGCTCGACACCACCACAGCCTGATTTTCCAAGCAGGAGAAAACCATCCCTTTCTTGGGGCGAGCTGAACACACGTGTGAGCGAGGGAAGCCCCCCCCCCGCCTCCCCGAGACGCTGCTCGGGGCAATCTCGGCTGTTCCACATCCAACTGGTTTCGCACCAAGGCCGACTGCCGTTTGATGCTGCTCCTCGGCGCCAAGAGGGTACTTTCTTAAGCTCAGGTTATCAACCCGCTCCTTTCAGACCGACCCGACGAACTGCGAAAGAGCAGAACAGTGCGTTAACCGAAACCCCTGAGCTTGCACTTTACTCACCTCGAGTCCAGCGGGATGGGACCCAATCGCTTTCCTACAGGAGCTCTGGAATTTGACATTTACATTCAAATGAGACGACCACATTAAGATGGGATCACAACCAAAAGCGCTGACAAAACACTGCTTAATTACTAGTTTTCCGCATAACCTCAGTGGGTTTTTTTTTGCCTTTTGCTTCTTTGCATTGCTTTAGAATTCAGCTAGGCGAAGAGAGGAACCGGAGCAGCTTAGAAGGGCTCCGAAATATGCAGGTATCGGGTGGAAGAGCTAAGTCACATCTGGTTAGGCAGTAAAGCAAATGTTTTCAACGTGCTCTTCAGCCGGAAAAGATCCCAAATCGCTTTACAAAGGCGGGGCTCTCCTCTCCCGCCGAGGTGCCACCCACTCCGGCAGCACGGATGAGAACCTTGAGCAACACCACGCACCCGCTCCGGGCAGAAAGGGAAAATTATCACTGCCTTTTCCACCAAGCACGAGGCAAAATGGCTTTAGGGCACTGCTACCATCCACAATGCAAGGTTTGCTGGGAATAACTGCGTTTTGGATTACGGCGCGTGGTTATTTGGCCTCTTGCAGCTCAAGGTACCCAAGGAATGGAGAACTCAAGTTGCTATGCCCAATTTCTTAGAGGACGCACATATGACAGTATCAGGGCAGACTTCGCAGCAGCCTGGCTGCGTGCTAGAGAAGATTTATTAACATAATGTTGCTATATAAAAAAAAAAAAAAAAAAAAGTCAGTGGTTTGCTGCCCAAGGACCAAATATTATCCTAGCCCTCACTCACCACCGACTGGAGAAACGGGCATTTTTTCCCTATGAATAGCTCACCCCAATTATAGGTCACACAATGCAAGTCCTTGTCTCTTCGCTTTATATTTCGGGAGCGATCATCCCAGTTCCCCCTTTCCTTCTTCCAGCTGCACGGACGCATCTGCAAGCCTGGATCCCTTGAGATCCAAGCTCAGCTCTTCGGCCATTTGGAGCATGAACCACAGTCTCTGCTGACACCAGGCTCTGCAACATCCCAAGGACAAGCCCAAGCAGGTCTCCCTCTGCCCAGGATCCACCCTAAACTATGCAGAGGCCTCGGGAAACACACCTAGCACACAGCAGCATAAAGCCAAAAAGGTGGGAAGATGGTAGGCAGGAGGAAATGAAGGAGGGTGCTTTGCCTGCTTGGGAGAAGTCACCATTTCAACCGCTCTACGGTGCCATTAAAATTCAACTGCTCTCTAAAAGGAATGCGCTGTCGGCAGTTTAGTGCCAAACTATCCGAATTATGTGGACCTGCAGAACAGATGCATGTCCTTGAGAGGAAGCCCCTGCACATCAACCGAAACAAACTGCGTTCTCTGAAAGAATGAAGATAATATAAAAACACGCTGACTCTTTTTGGTTTTACATCTAAATCCTCACCACTTCCAGAACACAACGGGAAGAAATCTTTTGTCTTTAGCAGGTAATTGAGTCATCAATGCCAAAAAGAGTGAATTCAAGCTTTCTTCTATCTTGACTGGACAGCGCATCTGGGGTAAAACACCAGAGGACACATATGGCATGACCAAGATCATGCAGCTATTGAAGTGAAGAGATCAGAGCAGAACGAGCATCCTGCAAATATCTGTGGCCTCTCTGCGGACAATATGGCTCTGTTTTCTGCAAACAGGCGACCCCTCCAGCCCCCTACAAAACCCCCATCTGAAGGCACTGGCTCTGGGAAGCATCTTATTCCCCAACGCCTCTGCCACAGCTCTCAATGCAGGGTCTCTGTTACCACAGCTCTAATCGCTGGATTCACGACACGAAGGCTCATCTAAGGAACGAGGCTGACCACACCATGAGGACTCAGTCGGCTCCCAAGCAGGCACTGGGCTCCTGATCACACAACCAGACCAAACTACCACTGCACTGGTTCCTCAAAGCACAGCGGTTGTTTTGTTCTGATCCTTCCAAAGATCAGAGCTTCCCCGAGCATCCCGCTTCAACGTCTCAAATTTAAGGTGAAACGGAAAAACAGCCGAGATGCCCCGGCAATATCCCACCATATCCCGAGCTCCTCAGTTACAGCAACAACCCTTCATCTCAGTCCAACTTGATGAACTCGCACCACTATCAGGTAAGCAAAACAGCCGGGGTTTTCCTTGCCACTGCCAGGTCTGACCTGCCAGGGAGGTTTGCCTCTCCCTAATGTCTAGAAATATATGCCTGGGTAGCGTAGGAAGCTCCAGCACAAGAGTCAACCCTCGTTCTAGGACTGTTTCATACCCAGCAGCTGCCCAAGGTGAAAGGAAATCTACCCAAAAAACCTGCAGATAGATACATCAGCCGCCGATCCTTCAGCACGCATCAACGCCACATCTTAGAAGAGCCGAAGCACTTTACGAGCCACGTATCGACGGGGAAGAAACACCTAATGCACCACAGAAACAACGATCTCTGGAGCAGGACGCACGACAATTTGGCGGCGGAGAAGTTCAGACAGGAAAGGAGAATCCCACATCCTGCTCCCACTGGCAAGGGAACTCTGGTAGGAAGAATATCTGGTAATTGCGCCTGCTGAAGTTTGGACGGAGCGCTGGAATTGAACGCCCCTTGGACCCTCAATGAGCATCATGGGAACTTTAATGACCACAAGTAATAAAGAGTCTTGATTTTCCTTCATATTAAAATATAATAATAATAATAATCATCCCCTCCCACAGCAGAGCACCTCAGAGGTAGGTGCGGTGCCTCCAGTTGGCTTTGCCGTGGCGCTC